TGTAGTTAGCTTTTCAAGAAATTCTTCTTGAAAATAACCTTGTACAAGGACTAGAATTTGTTTAACTACTGCTGTTTTCTTGTTTGCTTGTGCTAGCATTAATACCATCATCTTCAATGTGTGGTTTCTTTGTGGGAATCATTTTAAGCTCCTTGTCTGTTTTGTGACAGGTAGTTTAATGAAAACTAGGCAATATAATCCATAAATCCACTTAACTGAGCACATGTAAACTTCAATAAGCCAAAAGTGAGTGAACAAACAAACAAATACACTGCTGCCATTGTCTTCACATTCCCACTCTTCTGCCAGGACCAGTCTGTCCATACCATATGCGATGCAACCGTCTGGCCAAGCGGGGACTCCAGTGTCAAGCCATACATTTAATATTAGTAAAGCTTCACTTCTTATTTTTAGATAAAAAATAAATATAAGTCCTCTTTTTCTTTTCTTTTTTTTTTTTTTTTTTTCCCCAGCACCCCAGTGGATAGTCTTGCACACTTTTTGGGTGTGTGCACTCTATGTTGGAGACCACTGGTGTACAGCAGCAATGTTTCAGGTTGCTAATGACTGGCTTAGAGGAACTCAGTTCATTATGTCATTAACTTTTCTAGAAGAAGAAACTGGAATCCAAGCAGCATTCAAGCAGTGAATTTCCAAGTCAAGACTTTCTAGATTTTTTTTTTTTTCCATGAGTAAAATGGGATTGAAAGTCATACTGGTTTAAAATGGATTTACAATTTTATGACAGGGCAGTCACATAAAACATCGTAAATGGTTTTAATAAACTGAGTACATTCAAAAGAAACTGTTTTACTTGTGAGTGAGCATAAATACCTAGGGATAGGCAAATGTGACTCATCTGAAAGATGTCACACTGTAGGGGGCAAAAAACTCAGATTCTCTTTATTAGTAGCAAGTTACTTTCTGACTTTTCCTCTGGAGATCTAGAGACATAAAGAAACAATGCAAACAATTAAGTTGTTACTTTTAAGTGAAAGCAGTAAGACTATTTTAGTTACAAAACGAAATCCTAAACTTCTAATACTTTGAACTGTTAATATGAAATGATTTTATAAACATGGAGAATTTTAGATGTTACACTCCATATCTGCCTTGCAGAAGTTAGTAACAACATGTTAAACATATTTTTGAGATACTCTGGACTTTTCATCTAATCAGAAGATCAAGTGTTGTAGATAGAATAAGTACTATTCTTGCCGTGCTAAATAAAATGAAATGGATTGGAGCTGAAACACTAACTCTCTGCCCTGGATGTATACTTAACAGGAGTTGCTGTGTCATTTTCATGGTACAATGCAGTAGAAGAAAATGTTAGTGGTTTTGACTTTCTGAAATTGACAACTCTGCCTACAAATCTGATGATGTCACAAATTCCTTTCTACAAATGTTTCCTCTTTTACTAGCATGTAGTCATGCAAACAGGTTCCATAAATCTAGACAAAGCCCTGGCTTCTGTATTTTTGAAGTGCATTTAATATTTTAAAATGTTATAAAGAGACACAGAGCAGAAGCAGTGGTAATAGAAGAGACTAACTTCTTTTGAGAATATTTTAATGTTAATAATGTCTTTAAACATGCAAATGTAAGAACAGAGATTCTCAGAATATGTCTCGGGCCATTACAAGTGGTGCTCTTTCTTCCAAATTTCCAGTGCTTTTCTTTCTCTTTATATTTTCAGGTCTTTTTTTTTTTTGGTTGGGTTTTTTTTTGGTCCTATGTTTCTGTATGTTTGTTGGATAACTTAATTTGCTGGTGCAGATACATCCACATTTCCATGTGTAATTCCAGCATACCAGAAAGTGGAGGCAGAAAAGTTGAATTTTAGAGTTTTGATATCCCTTTATGTGTATCAGTATCTTTTCTGATCCATTAGCTCATAATTAGAGATGATCTGTAAAATGAAAAATACTATCTTGTCCCATGTTCCGATGTAGTGTGCAATGTGGCCTGTGCTCCTTCATTAGTAGCAATAAGGTCCTGCGAAGTCTTTCATACCCATTTCAGGGTATGATTATGCATATTAAGGACATTAGTATAGATATAGGTATCTCTATACTTATTAAAAAATAAATGGAAGCTCTAATCTTCAGAAAATTGAACAGTTACACTGGATTTTCAGGGGTCATGTTTTCATTATTCTCACTTGTAGGAAAAGAGATTAGTGAAAATACTCTTTAAAATGCTGCATTCATTTGCTTTTAGTTTTACTAAAACAATAAGCGGTTGGTTTTTTTTTTTACCCAAAGCTGTAGCATACACAGTTACAAATCTACACCCTGAGTGTAAGTAGCACTGTAGTAAGGTGTGAAAAACTTAGACTTGATGTACCTCAAAAAACGCCCAGAGTTAGGGATGTTTTTTCGTTTTTAAACTTGCATTTGATCTACAGAGAAAGGAAGGCAAAAATCTAGTGTTTCATTAGGTATTCTGAAAACAGATTTTGTAGTTCTTATAGTACAGTATTATAACAATGAACACCATAGAAAAAGCTCACATGAAAGGAAAAATGTTTTCAGAGTATTGGCTATTTAGAGTAAATGAGACACAGAGGATACATATTGAAGAGAAAAAAAAATCCAGAATAGCTAAAGTGAACAAAACTTATTCTGCTGAATGAGGAAGAGGTCCTGTGCATATGAGGAAGTACAAGATGAATAGAGGCGTTGATATCAAGTTATTTTCAGTTATATAGTCACACAATACATACAAAAAGGCAAAAGAAAAATTTGATCGTAAGGCTTTAAATATCGACATTTTCGAACTTCTGCATTGCCTGGCTTATTAAGGCAGGTGTTCATATAAAGTTATAAAACCCAGAAGTGCAGAATACTTTGTATGAATTTTTGGAATTTGTGCTGTTCATCGTATTAATGAAGTATATGAGTATATATGAAGATACATGTACATGAAGATAGAATATGGCATTGTTGCTAGCGTAATTGTAAATACAGTGTTTAAGAATATTGAAGAACATTTCTAGTCTTTTGATGCCTGCATTTATTTTGTCAAATATTCTTTCAGGAAGCACTTTCTAATGAAGAGGGTGATCTGTGCACTGCTAACTTAAACTGAAAGTTGGTTATGTCTCTACTAAAGGTTTAGATACCTTTAACTGATTTGTTAAACATATTTAACTGATTCTCCTGCTGTACCAGAAGAAGCCTTGTTAATATGGATGTGCTTATTATGCTTCTGTTCAGGGAAAAGAACAGAAATAATTTTTTTCGGGTAATGTGTAATTTTGCTGGTCTAAGATGTGTACATCAGGAGACCTTTGTTCAACGATTCTGGTAATGGACTAGGCAGGGAATCTTCTCGGTGCAGTGCATGTGACTTTTAGCCCTAGTTTTCAAGACATTTATGGCCTCGTTATCATCAGCTGTCTGAAGACATGTGTACTGTGTGTGTTCCTGCCAGGATTTCTGGAATGCTGCTATAGAAAACTCAACAAAAAATCAATTTTTGAACACAATAGTACAGTCTTTGTTTTTTATAGTTTTTATGAACAGCAAATTAACATACTTGTAAGTGTTTTGTGTTGGAGAATGTAACACTTACCTTATTTTTAAGTCTAACATTTTTCCTAATGTAAAGTATCAGAGTGACAGTTCACATTTTAAACTCCATGCAAGATTTGAAAACACATGCAGCTTTAACACAAAATTTGCCTTTTACCCTCCTAGGTAGGTGTGTTTGATAACTGTTTACAACGTATTTAAGAGATTGTTGCCTCAACATATGATGGGATATTTTTGTTCCCATATATTGTGTTTGGAAATGATGTATGTTTTCTTCTGAACTTAGTTTTTATTTTAATAATTTTCTAAGTAAAAAAATATGCACAACTAAAACTTAAAAATTTGTGTTTGAGAGTATGAAATTTTAAATGTGAAATAATGTTTTCTTCAAAGATCTTTTTCGTCTAAATAATTTTAATGATTTGACAATAAGAATAGAATTTAATTGATTCTTTCTGGACATGAATGTTTGAAAGAAATCAAGAAGTTGAGTGGTGATACTTCAGAAGTTAAATCAGGGTGAATCTTTATCATGGGTTCCTCATGAGACTTCTAAAAATTCCCTTTATCATCTGTTCTAATGATTACTTTATAAAAAATCCTGTCCTTCATATGGTTTGAATTAATAAGTTTCAGTCTACCATATATTTTACTAGGAATCTAGATTTTTTTTTAAAACTGAACAAAACTCCACTCTGTGGTGTTTAGATTTTTAATGGACTAACTGTCATTTAAGAAAAAGGCTTTCTTTTGTGTGCTATCTAAACAGAAACAAAAATAATGGAGGAAGGGAAGACAGGAGAAGCCTTGCAGTGTAGATTTAAGTAGAAAACGCTTGCATTTAAAAAAAAAAACATCACCACCCCACCCCCCCTCCCAAAAAAAAACCAAAACAAGAACAACAAAAAACTAAATAGTGGTGACTATAATTTGTTATGTGTGGTATTTTTATTTTGATGATAAATCTGAAATTGACTTAATGTCTCATTAAACTTGAGGATTCATTAATTTTTTTTTGATTTTTAAATTATTTATATAGATAATAAGGTGGTTTTATTCCTGAGTATAGGTTTGTCATAGCCTTAATCTAAATAGTTTAATTTAAATGCCTATTTGTTTTGAAAATGAGCTTATTTAAACCTCTCTTCCTTTTTAACATCCTGTTTCAATGTACTGTTACGAAACCTATCAGGTAGGTTCTGATCTTCATTTTTCATCAAAAGCTTTAAGTCTTTCACAACTCAAACATGTAATATTCATGAAATGTTTACTGAAACTGATATGACCTTCATTACTCTTGTTCTGTCTTTTACCTGTAGTTTTTACAAGGTTTTATTGTTGCTTTTATGTGAAAAATATATTTTTAACTTCAGGTCAACTTGAAATTGGGTAGGAATTTTATTGGTATGTTCATTAATCTTATTTAACCCCTTATAATTACTTTTTATCTTTATTTTACAGATGGAATACCTCAGGTTTACTATTTTGGCCCATGTGGCAAATATAATGCTATGGTGCTAGAACTGCTTGGACCTAGTCTGGAAGATTTATTTGACTTGTGTGGTAGGACATTTTCTCTTAAAACCGTTCTTATGATAGCCATACAGTTGGTAAGTAGAATAGATGTTAATTTGAGTGTTCATTAGAATCACTAAAGACAGTCTTCAATGGATTAAATGCTTATTTCACTTACAAGATTTACACTTCCCATGTTTTAAATTGGTGTTGGTGGCTGCTAAAGGGCCTGTGATACAGTTTTAGCAAGAAGACTGTCACTTTCATTTACTTTGTTTGCATGAATGTAGTTTCATTGTGTTTTCTGAGTTCTCATAATCACAACCTGAAATCATGAATTTTAGTTTGACATACTCAATTAGAAAGAAAAACTACATGAAATAAAAATAATCTTAATCCATGAAAGTAGCTGGATGATGGGACTCCTAAATAGTATAAATATTTTTTCCTGGGCATTCTCAAAGAAAGCAAGCAAACAAACAAACAGAAAATCCCTCAAACGTTTCCAGAAATACTAAAAATAGCACAAAGTTATTCAATGAAGAATTTTTCTCTTGTTTTGAAGGTTTCCTAATTTGGTTCCCACCTGAGGAGGGTGGCTAGAAGTGGAAGAGAAAGAGAAATAAGGCTTTCATATTTACCTTGATAAAATGTGTTTTAGATGAGTCCTTATGAAATATTAATAATACTGAACATCCGCTTCTCTAAATAGGTAGTGATATTTTTACCATGAAGGGTAAAAATAGCTGTTTAAAACACGTCTGTAATTGTATAACAGGTCTGCAACTATAGACATACTCAGCTTACAGCCAAAATGACAAAGTTCATTGTTTAAAATGCTCAAATCATCACAAAGATGATCCAAAGATCTTCTTTATTTATTGCTGTTCCTCTCTGAGTAAATCAATTTTGATAGAAAGCAATGCAGCTAGAATGGAGGTTATATGCATAGTGGTGAACTTTCAGTGCTTCTCTTGTTTATACCTTTAATATATAATGGATCTACATGGACTCTTGCTGTTCATTGCTTGATGACATATTTACTGGTTATAGTTCTGGTGTTCACAAAATGTACTTGGTGCCAGCTGTTCTTAAAGAAGGTAACTTCTGTTATGTACTGATTCATGTCTAATGTCCAATATGAAAGTTTCCAGTACACTATATGGCGTATCTTCTTAGGGGATGTGTAAAATTTACATTAACTTTAACTGGGAGATACAGTGTTAAGAGCAATAGCCCTTTGGTTTCAAGGTGATAGGAGGGATGATTTCCTCTAAATATAAAGTCAGTGTAAGATATCTAGCTTCTACCACAATTTAATGTGGCAGGCAAACTGAAGCTTAAACTAAACTTTCTGTCATTTTTTTCTTTTATTAAAGATTTCTCGTATGGAATATGTCCATTCAAAGAACTTGATATACAGAGATGTAAAACCTGAGAACTTCTTAATAGGACGACCTGGAAACAAAACCCAGCAAATTATTCATATTATAGATTTTGGTTTGGCAAAGGAGTATATAGATCCAGAAACAAAGAAGCACATACCGTATCGAGAACACAAGAGCCTTACAGGAACAGCTAGATACATGAGTATAAATACACATTTAGGAAAAGGTACGTGTGCTTTTTAAGTGCAGAAACAAGAATTCAGTAGCTGTCATTTGTCTGAAATCATCTGGTTCTCGAGTTGTAATTTTTCTCAGTCTGTAGTCATTAAGAACTGCAAGTTCTGAGTACTGTGCAAAATTATAGTTTGTCCTTACGGAAATACTGTTTGTGGGAATAAGGTTCTCTGGGTTTCGAATCATCATGGCCATGTCTCAGCAGATAATCATGTCACTCTTGTTAGATATACAGAAAAGAAATATGATGTATATCTTTTTGTATCCTAACTTCTTCACATTAGAAGCTTACCATGGCAGCGTGGGATGGGCAGGAAGTAGATATTCTTATTAAAGATATCAAAGTGAATAGATTGCTACAATATAGGTTTTCAGTGCTATCTTGCCAGTTTTTTGATCCCTTTGAAATGCATCATGTAGTGGAATACATATTTGATGCTGATTTCTTGATTTTAATTTTTTTAATGCTTATACAGTTAAGGCTTTGTCAGAATAGTTAAAGGTTATGCTAGTGTTGTAAATATCGTGAGCTAAAGAAATGACAGGATATATAGAGAGGGATAAGTTATTACTGAACGAATAAATTTAGCTGAAAAAAGGTGTGTGAGAACTCAAAGCTGTCTTTATTCAAGTTATATGGAGGTTTTCTAGTGAAAACGGATTTGACGCTTTTGAATTTGTGTAAACAAGTTGCTTATCGTTGCATAGTAATCACTACTTAGGTTACTCTTTGAATTGGTCATAAAAAAATGTTTCACAATACTTATAGTTCAAAGGTACTTCATGTTAATATGGCAAATGAAAGGCCATTCAGATCTCCCAGATAGTAATAAGGTACTTTATCAATAAAATCAGACCATAGTAACTTGTGGTTAGCAGCTGTAGCTTATGAAATTATGTTAACATGTAAAATCATAGAATCATTTATATTGAAAAAGAGCTTAAGATCATTGAGTCCATCCTCTAACCTAGCACTGCCAAGTCCGCCACCAAACCATGTCCCTAAGCGCCATGTCTATGTGTCTTTTAAATACCTCCAGGGATGGTGACTCCACCAATTCCCTGGGCAGCCTGTTCCAGTGTTTGACAGCCCTTCCAGTGAAGAAATTTTTCTTAATATCCAATCTAACACCCCTATCCCAGCACAACTTGAGGCCATTTCCTCTTGTCCTATCAGTTGTTACTTGGGAGAAGAGACCGACCTCCACCTCACTACAACCTCCTTTCGGGTAATTGTAGAGAGTGATAAGGTCTCCCCTCAGCCTCCTCTTCTCCAGACTAAACAATCCCAGTTCTCTCAGCCGCTCCTCATAAGACCTGTTCTCCAGACCCCTCACCAGCTTCGTTGCTCATTTTTGGACACACTTTAGCACCTCAGATGTAGTTCAGTTTAATGGTTTTTTTATGGTAAGGTCATAATAGATTTCTTTTAAAGGATAATAATTAGACATGTTTTTAAATTCCTTTTTTAAAAAGGAATTTAATTACTTCATCTATAGGCAAAAATTTTACCTAATCAGTATAAGGCTCTTCTGCGTGTTTCTGCTTTTCTTTTGGTGCTTGCCTTAGTCTCAAAATGAATTGGGATGAAAGACCTGTTTAACTTTGGCTACTAAACTTACTTCAGATATACCTTTTCTGTGAAAATGTAGACAAAGAATATATGCAATTACTGTGTAGTACATTCCATGGCAAATATAGATCTGTGTTTACAAAACATCATTCAACAGCACTTCAGGGCAGCAAACTTGGGAAATCTGCAGCATCTCCAGGCAAGTTAAAGAATGTGGAGCTTTCATATTAAACAAAACCTGCAAATCTTCAAAACCAATAGGAAGGAGACTTAAGCAGGTACATTTAACTGATGATGAAAAGAAGGTGTTTTTCTATGTTGATGTTTCAAAAGGGTATTGATTTCACATGGACAAACATTATTTTAAAATTAATTTTGAATTGTATTTCACCTGACTCGCATCTCAGCATCCTCTGGCTTCCTTGTTTGTTAGCAGGCAAAGCTGAAGGATTTAATTTCATGACGTGCAAACTGATTCTGCCGTTCATTCCAGATTTTTGGCATGAGTTGATCTTGATTTCTCCACACAGATTGCTAAACAACCTCAAGTTTCTTCATTAAGGAAGGAGAAAAAAAGCAGGTGTAACTATGGCTGTGTTATGTATCTATAGGTGAGATTAACAGTGCATAGAAGATCTCCAAATTATTAGAAGCATATGGTCAGAAATCAATGAATCAGACAACTGCTGGAAGGCCACCCCAGTCATTTGATAAGAGTTATATTTGAGTACTGTACACCTAAATTTAAATAACTTTTTACATATTTACACACTGCATTTTTTTTTTTTTAGGGAGATGGAAAAAGTGCTGTTTAGTGTGTAATTGTCTTGCCTTTGTATGTGATACCTGATTTTGGAGATGGCATTTAAGTTGCTTTTAAAATCTCATTGGCAGTCCCACATCCTGGAAGCATCTTCACAGGATGGCTACCTTCCTTATGTGCATGCTTTTAGGGGAAGTTCTGAATGAGACGAAATAATAGTTGCTTCTCTGCATTGTTGTTAAGCCTCATTAGAGCCAAAGAGCTTTAAGATCTGATTAAATGATTTTTCATTTGAAGAATAATACTGTAATTACTAGTATTTCCTGATAGTATCATGAATATTTAACACTGAGAACACTTTAAAAAACTTGATACCAGGGTTGAGGCTTTCTAAACATAACTTTTAGAACACAAGTTCCTCGAGTAAAGGAAGCATTCACTTTGTTTTTCAGGCATGGTATACCAAGTTGGTGTCAGCTTAAGGTGATACAACCAGTTTTAAAATCCAATAAGACTTTTTTAGTCCTTCTTAAATAAGAGAAAACACACACCACCCCCCCACCCCCCCCCATATAATTTAAGAAAATAAACCAAAATGTAAAACTGGTAATTACTTGAGGAACATAACTGCATTTTGAGGGAATTTCATGTCTGATGTTAACACAGGAACATAGTAAATGACACTTTCTCCTTCAAGGGAGACTTTTCCACTCCTTAGTTAGAATCTTGATCTCTGGTTGGACAGGTTTATTTTTGTCTAATGGTTACTTGATTAATATGTATGAAGGTTCTGCCAAATATAACTTGTGTATCATGAGTAATTCTGGACCCCTCAGCCTGGTGCAAAGCCAGATATATTCTGACTCCTCTGGCCAAGGTAGCTGTGACAAAGCTAATTCTCTTTTTAGTAGCTTGTCTCACTTTGCTGTAGTGTCTCCTTCTCACAGGAGATTCTCAAATGTATAGATAATTCTTAAAGATGGAAAAGGTTTAGAATGCCTTTCTGTTACAGATGCAAGTCATGCAAAGGAGCGCAATCTCATGTAACAACTCTGCTTCAGTTCCAACTCAGAGCAGTGGTTCTTGTTGACCTGATTATTTTGCAGGCGTTTCTTGGGTGACCGAGAACTATTCGTCATGGTCTCTTAGGTCTAGCAAACACTGAACAGTATGAATGGGGCTCTTACTTTTGTAGCCTCTCCTTTATGTGCAGTTTGTTTTTTCTGTATATTCTGTGATTCCTCTCTAAAAATGTAGTATTTTTTTAAATTCATGCAGTGGGACATACAGAACACTGAAGCTCTTCAAGCTCTGTTGTCTGTTTGGTTGCAGAGACAGTGGTTGCAGAGACAGTGGCATATGGGGTACATTCAGCACTGAAAATACTGGTAGTAAGAGAACTTTTTAGGGCAATGTTTTCAGTCTGTAGGTAACTTTCCCAGCAACTTGAATGGTCTGATAGCAAAATTGATGTATGTATTACTGCTTCTTGACTATCCAAGGTCTCATCTGACCCTTGTAAAAGATAAGTGTGTTGTCAGTAAAGAAAGAGATACTGTCAGATTCACATTCTCTTGTATGTTGATTTCAAGGATGCATTTATTGAACTGTAACTTGTCCTACATCAGTATGTATGAATAAGAAAGTATGTTTTCCTTTGATCAAAAGTACACTTTAGGATCCATAGTGTTTAAAACTGTCATAACAAGTGCATATTAACTAGAAAGACTTTAAATGTATCCGTATATTTAGTCAAAACTTGGACAAAATTACCAAGGCCCACTCTTTTGAGGTATATCTAGAAGGTGATGTGTAGTTACTTAACATCATGTAGCCAATTATTTCAATAATATTTATTGCAGAAACATACATTTGATCAAGAGTTTCTGGTAGTTTTGTGCCAGACTGGGGGTTTGTATCTGGAATAAAAGGTACTTTGTCTATGTGAAAAATAATGTGTCTTTATTCAGATAGCTGTTCAAAGGAAATGTAAATATTCTGCAATCTATATCAACATGTAGCTGGTGCCCTTGCTTCTATAAGGTAATTTCTCAGGGGGATAAAATTACTCCATGCTTCTCTTCCAGTCCCCTTCATTCTCAGGAAGGGAGAATGGGATCCCAGAGAATGTAGATTCTGACTGGCAGCTTGAGGAGCACAAAAATTTACGTCTGTAAAAGTCTTATTTTCTGCATTTGCTAGGAATCTAAATTGGTAGTTGTTTGGGGGTTTCCCTAAATTCAGGAAAAACAGCATACTTAATTGTTGTCCAAGTTATTTGGCTACAGGAAGCATAGTCACATGAAGTTGTAATTGCTATAATATGGCTATCTCTAATGGTCTCTGGGGAACAAACAATATCCTTGGTTGTAATGACCTTTTCGAAGAGGCGGAGGTTAGTTATCTTACAATAAATGCCTAAGACTCTTTTTGGGAATGAAGCAACTCTGCTCTTTAAAGCTAATTGAAAGACCGAATTAAGTAAATTTCTTTAAACAGTACGTATAGAGAAACAAAACTAAAAGAACCCCACCCTTACCTTTATAATAGATGTACTCTATCAGAGCTGTTGTGTGTTCTAGATTTAAAATCTACTTTTTAGGGGCCAGACTTCTTTGTAATCTAAACCAGCGAAAAATAATTCTACGTTGGATCAATTTTAATGTATTTCTTATTATAGGAACAATAAACACTTGGACCGAAAATTGTATAAGCCTAAATCCTGGAATTTTTCCAGAAATTCAAGTAGCAAAATGTTTTCTGCAGTTACATGCTGGCTTTGTGATGATGGCCCTACAGGTGTCTTACCAGCTTTCACTTGTCACTGGGCCAGTGGTGTGGAATGAACTTCTTTTCCAGACCTAGGACCCCCATAGGAAGTTCAGTAGTCTCCTTCTCATACCCACTGAATTATTGCTGGACCCCAGGGGCAGGATTGTAGCTGCCTTAAATAAATATCCTTTTCTGTATAAGCTAACCTTATAAATCCGTAATTATATGAAACAATGCTTCTAATAAAAACTAAGTTAAATAAACCTTTGTTCCCTTAATTAAAGGCATAACAGACAATAGGACCATAAAGTCTACATTATTCTTAACACAACAGTATGGCATACAATGTGCACTTATGATAAGATTGGAATAGAGCTTCCTTTTTATGAACCAGAATCATTAACTTCAGGATTCATGATTTTGTTCAGAAAGGGATGCTATTCTTTCCCTCAAATTATATTATTGTATGGATTCATACCATTTTTATTAAGACTACAAACTCTGGATGGTAACATTCAAATTTATTTTTGTTAAACTTTATAAACTGACAGGTCAGGATATGTAGATTGTCACTTTCCGTCCACTTTGTGATTACACTATGAGTCTGTGTGTCAAATCACGTAATCATCCTGGTAACTAATGCTGTGTTTTCTGATCCAAATAGATAGTATGTTTCCACTGTTTTGGCATTCCTACAGCAAACAGTAAAAGTTTCTTTGGAGGAGAATGCAGTGTTTATAATGGATGCCTACTGAAGTCTGAATGTCTCTTGTTTGGCCTCTTTTATGGTTGGTTCCTGTGTATGCTAAAAAAGATAATTTCTGGAGATAGCCTTCTCAATGAGGTTCTAGGTCTTATTAAAAATCAGCCTACTTGAATCGAGATTAATTTGTCTGTGGCTTGTGAACTAAATAACAGGTATTAGTTTCTTACTGATTTAGCTAGCTTTGGGTGGCCTCCTTGAGAGAGAGGAGACTGTGTGCCCTAAAGGTTTGTTGTGTGTTTGTCATCTTATGATCGTATTACCTTTTAGGCAACAGGTTGTCTCAATATCATTAAAATGTGATGCACTAGGATCAGTGTACATCAGCAGCCCTTCCTCCAGCTGATGCTTGAAATCCTTTTGTGTTCTGGCTAGTCCACTGCTAGTTTTTTTCCCGTTTTTTCAATGGTCCTTCTTCCAACAATAGCAATATAATTTTTGTGTTTCCTGTTTCTCGGGCTTATCCTTAAGAAGTCCATCCATAGGAAAGGATATTTGACAATTTTTTTTTGATTACTCCAAAGTGCTCAGTGAAGAACTTGAATGGATGCTAAATAACAATCCCTTTTGCCAAAAATTAAACAAAAAATACTTTCCCGTAGCAGGTTCTTGAGGGCATTGTGAATTCAAATGATGTATACTGGAAGTAGTTCCCATAGAACTGTCCTACAGAAATATCTCCAATCATCCAAAGCTCATTAAAAATTAAAATTCCTCTTAATTAGAAAACATTTCAGGGTAAAGATTGAAAGTTTCTCCTTTCGTAGAAAGGACACTCAGTGAAGAAGCAATTGCCTCAATAGGGTGTTTGGGTTTTTTCTTTTTAAAAGGAGAAGAGGTTGATTTTTCATCAGCATAACCTGTAGAAGTTAATGCAAGAGAGGAATTACTGGCCCTCAGCAAAGACATTTTTGTGGGCCGTATGTTAATGTTGCCCATAGATGGGCCATCTGTTGTGCACTTGTAACGTTTTTGTATGCTTTGCCACCATCTTACCACTGATCTGTTTCACGTAAAACACACGCTGCATTGCACAAGATGTTTTGTCATGAGCAGTGCTCATGAAGTGCTCATTGTCTCCATGTCCACCCTATCTCATAAAGAGCACAGGATTTCTGCAGGCATCTAGGGCCAGCATTTGTTTCACATACTGAAACCTGTCAGGCACAGAACTCTGTTGCTTATTCCTGCTTTCTTCTTCACTGATGTGGTTGCATCAGGATAGCATATGGTCAGCAAATGGGGTGTTGCAGGGTTGACAGAGAAATTTGGGTAAGGCCACATTGTCTGGAGGGTGCTCACTGAGAAAACTGGCAGCAGCAGACGAGAGTGGAGGAGTGGACACAAACAAGAAGAGGGTTGGCAAGGGAATTGGAAATGGGTAAGGGAGAAATGACTGTGAAAGAGCCTCATATAGTTGGCAAATGTGTGATGAAGTAAGAGGCTGGAGGTAGCCCATGCTCTGAATTAAAAATCTAGATTTTTTTTTTGCTATTTACTTATTCATTTGCTAGTATGTTTTTACTTGGTGTTCGAATGAGAAGATAGACATAGAAAACAGAGTAATAATCAAATTGTTTTTTTCACATGAAGATTAAGAATTGTTTTTCAGATGCAGTGTCTTTGTGGCACTATTTTTGTGTTGATCAGATCAAAGCTGGGTTGGCTCTGTTATCTTTCCTGAGTTCAAAATCTAACAAATGTTCTTTCATTTACTTTTCTGCTCCATTTCACTTGCGGTCAAAGCATAGTGGTTGTGCATTTGTGAAAATACTGAGTAGAAACAATGTTAATATTTTGGTTTTCTGCCTTGTGTCAAGGAGGAGGGCAAAGTTAGATGTAAATACTGCAGTATGTTACTACAAAACATAATGCACTGTGACAGTTGTTTCAACAGCAGTACAGAATGAAGTCTGGTGAAAATGTAAACATCTCTTTTCTAATAGTCATTTAAAGGCTTTTATTTTTCTCTATTACATTCAGTTTTCCTAAGAATAATGGATTTTATTTAAAAGTAATATGGAATGTACTTGGAAAACTTTGCACTGCATTTTCCTTGTTACTTTCCTTTTTCTTTAACCTTCTGTGGACTTTTTGGAGGACTGCCACTGCTCTACTACAGAAGAAAATTTGTAGCCATGCCAGATATTGTCTTCTGTGACTTAGCTTTTAAATCAGAGTTGAGAGCAGGCTGTATGTACATGCCTGTCCATGCTGCTTTCTGATCAAATAATAGGACTTCTGAGCCTTCTTCAGTCCACCTTTGGCTTGCTCAGAAATTCCATAAGGGGTCCCTGAGAAACATACCATCTTTTCCATGATTTTATAGAGGTAAAATGAGTTCAATTAAAGCTTTCTTAAATTATTTCAAGTTTACAACTAAGGAATCAAAAAATATCAGAATTGAAAAGTAATTATATATATATAAAGGGTCAAAATATATTTGAAAATGAGAACAATTTCTTACAGTGAGATAATTTGTTTTAGGTACTGCTTAAGTGAATATACCTGCAGTCTGCAGCTGGTTGTGGTTATTTTTTTGCTTTAGCTGTGTTCCTAATTGAGTCCATAGCACACAAGAAGCCTCCCACGTGCTCAGTTTTATTTCAAGTACTTTATACCTCCCAATTATTTTTACATAGTTTAGAAGCTAACCTTTTAAGTGTAATGTAAAATTATGCAGACTTAATGTTCTAATATTTGAATTTTGTTTCAGAGCAAAGTAGAAGAGATGATTTGGAAGCTTTAGGTCATATGTTTATGTATTTTCTCAGAGGAAGCCTTCCATGGCAAGGTTTAAAGGTAGTGGTTTTTGATATCTTCCTCTATCCTGTTTTCAGATCATCAGCTTTTCTTGCCGTGATCTTTTTCTTTTTGAAAGTTTGTCTGCACACTCTGTAACTTCAGAAGCTTGTTTTGTTCTTGTATCATAGGCTGACACATTAAAAGAACGTTACCAGAAAATTGGAGATACAAAACGAGCAACCCCTATAGAAGTATTGTGTGAAAACTTTCCAGGTAATGTCTAGTGTTTAAAAAAAAAAAAAAAAAGTTGTATATTGATTTAGAAAACAAAACTGGCATGGAGAGTTGTTTAATTTCTGGTTTTAAAAATAAATAATGCTTCCAAATATGTGTATTATGTGCTGTGGTAATAAATACAAGAATTATCCTTTGAAACAGCAGTAGGCTAATGATGTCGTTCTTCAAAGATAGATTCTGTAAGCATTAACAAAAATATTATGATATATGTTCTTACAGTGATCAAGTAGTCTACACTTGTGTCTTCACATAAAATTTTGCAAGACTTGTCAGCTCAAATCTGATATCATACCCCTTTTTAAAACAAGCTGCATTAGAAACAATTTGAAATAATATTTTAAGTAACTTATAAGTAGTTTCAGGTGTCACCTAGTTCTTCTGAAGTACATGGAGAATCAATGAGGCATGGGAAAATTGGAGAGAAGCAGATACAGTGTTTTTTAAAAAGTTGGACTAATCGGCTCAGGACAGGGGACACACACCCCATGGCCATGATTTTACCAAAATAAAACGAATCACCTTGAAAATTAGTCACAATATCATTGATAGGTGAAATGGACTTACTGAGAAAAGCTCATGTCTAACTGATTTGATTTCCTCTTACAAAAGGAAATCCTGTCCACAGCAGGCCTTGTGGACAGGAGGCTGATGTTTTATGTCATGAAATCTTAGCACTTTTGCTTTTGATGCTTTTTTTTTTTTTAAATCACAGAATGGCAGGAGCTGGAAGGGACCTCTGGAGATCTTCTAGTCCAACCCACCTGCTAAAGCTGTTTCACCTAGAGCAGGTTACAAAGGAACGTGTCCAGGCGTGTTTTGGATACCTCCCGAGAAGGAGACTCCACAACCTCCCTGGGCAGCCTGTTCCAGTGCTCTGCCACCCCCAGAGTAAAGAAGTTCCTCCTTATGTTCAGGTGGAACTTCCTGTGCTCCAGTTTGTGCCCATTGCCTCTTGCCCTGTCACTGGTCACCACTGAAAAGAGCCTGGCCCCCTGCCCTTTACATATTTGTAAGTGTGGATAAGGTCCACTCTCAGTCTTCTCTTCTCCAGGCTAAAGAGCCCCAGATCTCTCAGCCTTTCCTCCTAAGAGACATGTTCCAGTCCTCTAATCATCTTCGTAGCCCTCCACTGGACTCTCTCCAGTAGTTCCTTGTCCCTCTTGAATTGGGGAGCCCAGAACTGGACAGAACGCTCCAGATGTGGCCTCACCAGGGCAGAGCAGAGGGGGAGGATGACCTCCCTTAACCTGCTGGCCACACTCTTCTTAATACACCCCAGAGTACCATTGGCCTTCTTGGCCACAAGGGCACATTGCTGGCTCATGGTCCACTCGCTGTCCACCAGCACTCCCAGGTTCTTCTCTGCAGGGCTGCTCTCCATAGGTTGACCTCCACCCTGTACTGGTGCGTGGGGTTATTCCT